AAGGCACTTGTCGTACTAAATCGCTACGTGGTCGTAAATCAATAAGAGTATACCAGTCTTAAGATAAAATGTTCGTAAAATCATCAAGTAAAAACCAATTCGTGTTTAAATATAAGATTTAATTTGTCAATTTATGTGTCACAAACCTACTATACCTACTATACGTCTATACCTAATTACCTACTATACAATAGGACGCAATCGGAACACGGAAAAGGTGGGCAAAAAATCGTTTACCTGCGCCTGGGACGCAATCGACAAACTCCGTATTGTGACCGATTATGACTAACCGATGACGGTTTAGTATTGCTATCAGTAGCCGAATCTTGGAAAAAATATCCCTAAGGCTATACATAACCGTACTGTTGGGTGCAGCTGTTAAAAATAATAATAATTAATAGTAAAAATATATCAAATTTGAATGATAATCATTATATTCCTATAATATAGGTACAATTAGTATATAGGTATAAGTAATAGGTACAAATTATATTATATGATATTGCTGTATAAATATTTATTTATTTATTTATTTATAAACGTATACCGTTTGGTAATAAAAATTAAAAGTACAGTCAGTTGAATCTCAATTTGACAAATATTATACTGAAATTAAATTATATCATATTATAAATGAGTTAATATTTTTAAAATTAATTGTATTCCTATTTATGAATCCTAAAATGATTTTTTAACAAATGTATTAACATGCAATATACTACAATTATCAATTTTATAATTAAAAGTAATAACTAGGGTGCGGATTTGAAGGCAAATTCCTTTCTTTTATTAATCATAATAGAATAATAATTTTTATACAAAAATGTGTTTCATTTAATTTCTTAGACGATGGATGCATTTTTTTGCTTTTTGTACTTATAAATGTCTTTTTTGTGTTTAATTTTCAGTTGATTTTATAATTTTATACAAATGGGTTTTATTCTTCGCAATATTTATCGATATCGCTGAACACTTTATCCATTATCGTCTTATCGAGTTTTTGGTATGACCATAAAATTACCCGTACACCTATAATTTAAAGATTAAGGGCCGATTTCACCAACACAGTTAATCACGGTTAAGATTAATCGGAGTTTTAGGGCCGATTTCACCAACACAGTTAATCACGGTTAAGGTTAACCGGAGTTTTAATCGGCCGAATTTGGCCGGTTAAATATCTGTTATCAGCCGATTAAGCGTTATATGTTCGTAGTGCGTAGATTCCAGATTGTTCGTCAGTCCACCCTCATTCGTCGACCGGAATTATAATAATTGTCATTCAATAATTTTTCCACGCGTTATTTATTTTTATTAATTATGCCAAAAGTTAAATAAAAACACAATTCTAAGTTGAAAAAGTATGTTTTAGAATTCGGTGAAAATCTTTTTTCAACCGATGGATTAATTTTATATTGTACAAATTGTGACGTCAAAGTGTCAAGTGAAAAAAATTCCATATTCAGCAACATATCGGAAGAGATGAACACAAAACTGCGTTTTTTTACATTTTAAATGCTTTTTTTATTGATTATATTGCCTTCAAATCCGAACCCTAGTAATAATTAATAATATTATCTATACGAAGAAAAGGAAAACACCGTAATTAGGTATTAATATTTAGTGAGAGGTAATTTCGACGCGAACAAATTTGCTTATAAAAAAATAGATTTTACTGTAAAATTAAAGCACAATTTCAAGAGTCAATCATATTATAATGGTAAACGGAAAAAGTCCCCTGTAAAATCGTCCACGTCAGTAAAATAAAATAAAAAAAAAATCAATTGTTAATTTTTTTTTTTATTGAAACTTATTATTCAAGTAAATAGTAATTATTACTTTTACACAAGTTTTTCTCATTAAAGCCCAATAGTTCATACAAAATAAAGTTACGATGGTATTCAATTACGTTCAATTACGAAATAAATGGTTAGAATACTATTGCGTAAGCTGCTTATCGGCGGTACATTTTCAACCTTTTTCACAGTGGCGACTCGTGCTAACTGCTAAGGTGCGATGGTGCGACCGCACTCCCTATGGACATTTTAAAATAAAATTATTTTCGTAATCATACTTATCATAGTAATTAAATAGGAATCATGATGGTCTATATTTTTTACGAAATAATTTAAATGATTCCAAAAGTGTATTGTAAAATAATTAAATTTGAAGAAAAATATCAACTTAACCCGGCAATTATTCCATTGCAATAAGAAATAATCTAAAAATTAAACGAAAGCCAAGCGACCAACGTCTGTAACAGTGTAACATGAGATTCGTACTTTCGTGTATACTGTGTACTGTGTAGATATTGTATGGTGCGGCGGCCCGAGGCGCACACAAAATATGTGTGTTATACGGGTTATATTATCAAATTATGATTAAATTGAGTTGTTCCTCAACGGCGGTGGCTCACGGCAGTGGCGTGACTATATATTATTATTTTGGTGCGGTAATTTTCGTAGCACATTTCCGGCGGCGACCTGTACGCTATTGCATCTATGGGCATAAGCACGATTTGTGGAACTCAACGACGGGGACTGTGGTCCGCGGGTCGCGGCAGAGCGGCGAGACTATACTTTATTCCTGTGCGATAATACATTTACTGCGGTGACCTGCGATTTTGTATTTATAGCGCGCAGAGTTCGATATTTACGTCTAATTATAGCTAAAGAAATACCGACCAATAGCAATGATTGTGAAGTAGGTACTTGTTATCCATATCAGTGATATTATGGATATTATTAAATTAATCCGGAAAATAAATGGGTTCCGGACCGTATAAATCCGGAACGTATATCGCCGGAATTAAAAAAAAATACTAAACCGTATTTGCCCAGACCGTATATTTACGGAAAGTATTGTAAATTGCCTATTTGAAACCCCTGAAAAAGAAAGTTGAGAATTTTATTGCTAGATCTTTATTGCCAGTAGGCTAGGTTGACCTGAGCTTTCATTGTTATTAATTAATATTCTTATTGTGTTCATTTTTATTTATTACAAAGATAGTATGTGATCATAATTTGGTCACATTATATTAGAAGAAATTTTGTATTACTAAATTAAATAATACCCATAACAATATATTTTTTATTATTCTTAGTGGTCAATGGAGCGATGAATATAATTTGACTTTCCAATAATGTGTGTGTTTTATTTAAATCTGTTTGTAATTAAAATAAATGCTCTGTAACTTAGGTTAGGTACCAACCAAAAAGTTAGACAGTCTTCGCTCAGAATCATTTCTTGTCGTGTGCTTTAAATTTAACACATCCATTACAGTTACATACTCAAATATTCAATGATGAGACACATTTGATACCTACTGCACAGTAAAGCTATTAAATACTTGACGAATTTTTATAATCATTGCATATTTAAAAAAAACAACTTTTTTCAAAACATACATTTATACCTTCACAGAGTTGTATTAAATAATAATTAAAACGTATGTCGTTTGACCACGACAAGATGAACGCGTAATTTGTTTTTAAGTAAGTAAACATTCGAACGCTGTGAACCATTTAGTACGCTTCAGAACTATAGAATTTGGAGTTTAAAAATAAGATGCAGATACATTAACAAATTACCATATTACATACCATAGTATGAAAGCTCGATGGATATTTATTCAAATAGTTTACACAGGCAATCTGTTTAATTCATTAATTTATGAAGTTCCTGTTTAATTGGCACATGTAGTTAATTTTTCCAACAATATATATTATTTATTTATTAAATCATCATAAACATTACATTGATATATAATATAATATTATATGATGTTATAATAAAATAGGATTATGTAGCCAAAATATGCATAGTATCATAAGTACAACAAATATATATTTATATTATTATTAATTAATAATAAAAAGGCTTTATATTCATTTTAATTGTATCTTAAATAGGTATAAATAAATTCTTATTCATAGGTAGGTATTGCATTAAATAAAAACAGTCCAGTTTAGATATTTTGATGGTTGAAAAAATAGTAGAAAATTGGAATATATTTTAAAATATTAAACATGTAAAATACCTAACTAGGTATGTATTATTTGCTTGGATTGTTAAGTTTTTAATGCCTTAATGGCTAATACCAGGGGGTGGACACTTTTGGGCTGCGGGCCGATAAGAGAGAATCAGTCGGCCATGACACCGAAGGTCTACAGTGTGTACATTTTTACGTTTTTATAAATGTTCACACTGAGTATAGTAATGATAAGTACGACGTTTTTACGTTATCGTGTTTTTTTATTGTAAAAATGGGTTAAACTTTTTTTTTCAGTGAAAACTGGTCAAACTGTTCGGTTGAACTGGCCCTAATGTAAGCCGCCGGTGTCATGGCCGACTGACTCAAGTAATTGTCCTATGCTGCCTATGTAAACTGTTATCAGTGTCCATTCTGATTGTTATATTCTGTGCTAATACTGACATATTATTATTATTATTATTATAACGTCTTATCATGTTAATATTCGTATAATAACAATTAATACGTTGTATTTTAATTTTTAACTGTCCACTATTCCTAAATAGGTACCTTTTTTTTCCATGTATAACCACTAAATGAGGGCCGTACTGTTTTCACATTGCTTGGCCCTAATTTTATTCCTAAATACCTAATTAACAGGACAATAACGATTTTTGAAGATTTCGAAATATTCCAATGATTTCTTAAGGTAGCTACACACTATGCGCGTATTCGTTGTTCGTGGTTCGCGGTTCGTGATTCGTACAAATTCGTCGTTTTTTGATATTTACGAATATCACCCTTCTCACTCTTCGTGGATAGTCGTCATTCGTGATTCATGATCTGTGTATTTATATTCGAGGAGATTCACGGAGACTTTCGTCAATAGAATACCCGCCAAATTAATATTATATTTTAGGTTAACTCAAGTTATAGTCTATTTATTTTACTCTACATTTTACATAAATACTTGAGCACGTACCTAAAGCTGTGAAGCACGCGATTTGTGAAGTTAAGTTTTAGTCCCAAAATGGCGTCAAGTAGTGAAGATGAAGTCGCGATCGCTAGTGCCATGTTTATAGTTATAACTGCAGGACTTAAAAAGAAAAACAAAAACAAAAAGCGTAGATGGTGGACTACAACTTTGTTCAAAAATCGAGAGAGGTAAGTTACTAAAAATTATTAAGTTCTAATGACTTTTTATACAATTTATATGGGCATATAGCTCCCTTAAATACAATTAACATCAAATGTTTTTTTTAATTTAGATATGGTGGTAATTCTTAATTGAACGACCTGATGACAGAGAATTCTGGAAAGTTTGAAAACTTTTGCCGAATGTCTCCCTCAGATTTTGAATATTTGTTTAATTTGATTGGTCCAAACATAACCAAACAAGATACTCACCTTAGAATATGTGTTTCTGCTAAGGATAGATTTGCTGTAACACTAAGGTTCTTAGCTAGTGGTGATAGCTATCAAAGCCTTAGCTATCTATTTAAAATTTCACCACAGCTTATTTCAACAATTGTGGTTGATGTATGCAATGCTTTGAAAAATGGACTTTCGGATCAAGTAAAGGTATATTAAAATTTAAGCGTATAATAAAAAATATATTATCACATAGATAATAATATTATATTATTTTAACACTTAATACTAGAAATTAAATATTATCATAGTTAAAATACACAAATTTAGTATAACTCATATATTTATATTAGGTAAAGTTACAATAGTAAACCTTAAGTGGCCTACTTAGACAAAATTAAATTCTAGCAACACTATAACAAATAAAAAAATTATATCATGACTTGTTAAATTAAAAAAATGAATAGAACATTAGAACAATATTAAAAAATATATTAAAGTCAATTACCTACACATTCTTGGTAAGATCAATAACTTACTACTTCCTAAAATTATAATATAATGTAAAAAAAAATTAAATTACTTGTTTCAAATATAATAATTTAATTATATTTAAATTATAAATATATACTAAAAATGTTGTGATTGGTCTTGAGTAACTTAAGTTAGGTGTTCTAGAGTTGTAAAAGTAATGGAATTTGAAGGATTTGAAATATTTTCATTAGGTGAATAAGAGTGAGAAGTAACTCGACGTGACACATTTTCAATATTATTAGTGGCAGACTTTGAAAGATCTGAAATATTTTCATTAAGTAGATAAGAAGTGTGAGGAGTAACTTGTGATAAATTTTCAACTGTATGAGTGGAAGAATTTGAAGGGACTGAAATTTGTTTGTATGATGATAAAGAAGAGTTAGGATAAACTAAAGTTGGATTTTCAGAAGTTGGAGAATGAACAGAGTGTGAAGAAATCTGGAGTGAATTTTGATAACTTGGATGCATTAAATGTGTAGCTGAAGTGGTTTTTGGATCATGATTATACATAGAATTAAAAGGAGCCAGAGATGATTGGTCATGGAGTGAGTATGGAGTATGTGGGTATGGAATATGTGAGTACGGTGGAACAGCAGGTGTTTGTTTGTTAGATTTATATATAGAGTGTAGTGGCGAGATTTGTTGGAACGGAGACGTTTGTTGATTATTTGGATGTTGTTGTGCAGTTGAATAATATGTATTTAAAGTAGCATTAAACATTATATTATTTATATCATTCATAACATATTGCTGGGTTATTTTATTCATGTCCCTCAACTTGGTAGCTATTAAATCTCCTAACAGTGAAAATTCATCTTTATTTTTTTTAATTTCTTCTTTTTTTTGTTTTAAATATTCAAACGCTTCTTTGACACGGCTATCTTCTTCTCTAACTTTTCTTTTCCTTGAAGACTGTTTAAGACTTCTAACTTGTTCAGAATTTTGATGGACGATTTGAGCTGGTGATGTTGAAATTGACGATTGTTGTAGTATTTCTTCATTATTGTCATCTCTCATGCTTTCTTCACCTTCTTCTAATTGAGTTTCATCTTCATTGCTTTCCAAATGCTAAAAAAATAGATATTCATAGTTAGATATGTAAGTAGTACATAAAATTATGTATAGGTATTAAGTAGGCATCAATAATTTTAGTAAAACTATTTGTTGTTTGTTTTCTCTCCTATAAAATTTGATTTATGCGTTTTAAATAAACTTTAATAAACATAAAATATATTGTGTTGCTACTTTATCTCTGGGGAACATATACCTGGGATATATCTATAAATTCTATAAAAAGTTTACTATAATATTTAAATATAATCAAATATTTCTAATATATTATTATATTAAATATGATAATGTTTTAGTTTACACTTAAATGCTTCTTAATAGTAAGAAATAAAAACTAAATATTATATCGGATTTAGTTAATATAAAATAATAATTATTAAAATTTGCATAAATACCACAACAATTGATGTAGGTATTTTCTATTTTATGGTCCCTACTCCCTATTGAATATTCATGCGGTTTTTTGTTTTTAAATTATTTAGATTCCTAGTAATCCTGAAGAATGGCGAAAAGTATCAGATTTGTTTGAAAAAAGATGGAATTTCCCCCACTGTATTGGGTCACTTGATGGAAAACATATAGTGATATTATCTCCAATGAACAGTGGTAGTGACTATATAAACTATAAAGGCACATTTAGCATTGTATTGATGGCATTATGTGATGCAGATTACAATATTACTTATGCTAACATAGGTTGCCAAGGAAGGATATCAGATGGTGGGGTTTTTAGTAACTGTTCTTTGTCAGAAAAACTAGAGAACAAAACTTTAAATTTACCTCTTCCTGAACCATTACCAAACCGAAATACATGTGTACCATATGTTATTCTTGGTGATAGTGCTTTTCCTTTAAAAGAAAACATAATGGTACCTTATAGTGGGAATCATAACAGCCAATCACTTAAACGAATTTTTCAATACCGACTGTCAAGAGCCCGACGAACAATTGAAAATGTATTTGGTATTATGTCCTCAATTTTCGTGTATTGCAAAAACCTTATTAAACCTTATAAACCAAAAATTTTATTAGATGCAAATAAAGCAAGACTAGTGACCGAATGTTGTGTTTTACTACACAATTTTTAAAGAAGAAGTAAAACATCATCAAATATTTATTCACCGCCGGGCACATTTGACCGGGAAGAAAATGGACAACAGTTCAGTGGTTCATGGAGAAATGATTGTTAAGGAATGACATCACTTTTTCCAGTTGAGAGAAGAGGAAGGAGGTCAGGTATAGATGCAAAATGTATTCGACAAGAGTTTGGAGAATATTTTATGATAGATGGGAGAGTTGGGTGGCAAGATTCATTCCAGTAAATGTTATATAATGAATAAATATATTTATAATGATGTAATAAAATAAAATATACTTACTATTGTGTCTGTTGTTCCGTGAGGTGTATATACATTTTGCATGAACTGATTTAATGAATCATATGCAAACCAGGATGGAATATATATGTCACTTCTTCCTGACCCTGTCACCATGCTACTTTTTACTAATTTTTTTTCGACGGCATCCTCTGTAGCTTTGTAGCAAGTTAGATAATTTTTTGCTAACAATATCAGCAGTTGTTCCAAAATTTTTAGCAATATTTTGAAATGCATCAATTTTTTTGTTCTTAATTTTTTTATCCTTGTTTTTTGGGTCCCATAGACAAGGGTGTTCTTTCACCTCATCTATAAGGTCCAAAATGATGTCTTCCGTCCATTCAAATTCCATGTTTACTTTAAACAATAGTCAATAATCAATTAAAAATATATTTAAATAGAATAGAGTAATAGAGTAGATATATTATGTAATATTTTAAACGTCAAAAGGAACATGTAATTAATAGAAAAGATACCTATTTTATATATTTTGTTATTTTAATATTTGACAAATCATTTTAGTCCCTCGTAGCATTATAAGCTGGGTTGGGCAAGATACTAAAAAAAAAGTATCACGATACATTCATTTAGTGTATAAAGGTGGGAATTAACTAGTTAAAAAATTAAAGTTAAGTTATAAAGTTATATATTTTTAAACTTTTTAATTTAACTAGTTAGTTAATTTTCTAATCAACTTATAAACTTAACTAGTTTAATTGACAGTTGAAAAAACTAACTTTCCTCAGATATTTAAAAATAACTCAAGTTAAAAATTTTTGAAATGTTGGTTATTATGTTTTTTAGTTTTTATACTTAAATGTTAATACTAAAATAAAAATAATCCAATACTTTAATAATACAAAAAATTTCTATTACTTTTCTTGATAAAATAATTATGTAATTAGATATATTTTAGTAGATTAGATAGGCATAATATTATGTGACCTTAAATTGCTACTTGATATAATAAAACTAATATTTATAAGATTATTAATTGGAGATTGGCATGTGTTGGTACAGTTTAAATATTTAATAACCATACAAAGTAAAATAGGTACATACACTGTACATAGTGTTGAAATTCCAATAAAATTGTTTATTATAATTTAGAAAATTAGAAAGAATGCAGTCACTCTTTATGTGATCCACATACTAATTAAAAAAAGTAGATTAATTTTTTTAAACTGAGGTAAGTTAAAATTTTTATTTCCATATTAATTTTTAACTTATTGAGTTAAATTTAGAATTTGTTAGCTATTAACTTTTAACTTGTCGATCTCGAGTCCTCTTAACTGAGTCAATTATTTTCATTAACTTATCACCTTTGATTGTATCAAGATACAAGATACAAGATACATTATTTGATACTGCAAAACCCTGATTACAAGATACTAAAACTTAACATTTTCATAAGCAGGACAAAAATGGTTTTAGTTATTATATTTTTAACATATTTATACATGTTGTGATATTGATTTGTTAATTAATGGTTGTAAGTATGATATACAACCTCTTTTAAGTACTGAAACTGCACATTGTTCAATCTTACATTATTTTAAATTCATGAATACTTATTGTAGTAGGTTAGTAGGTAAAGAGGTATTATCCAAAAAAGTTAAAGACTAGTTAAAGTTAGGTAAGATTCACTGTGGATTCACATATTAATGGATAAAAATAGTATGATTTAAAATCCGTGCCTGTACTATGAAGAATGAAGATATAATAATTATTGTTATATTGTTAATTATAACTTAATACTTATATTTTTATATTATTAAAGACAATTATAAGCAACTCACCAATTTATAATTGTGCTGGGAAGATGACTCTATTAACTGCTTTCTTTGTAGGTAATCACTAGGTACCTAGGTATTTACGAATAAAAACAATAGTATTACTACAATACATCAATACTAGGTACTATATAAATGTATTTTGTACAATTATATTTTTCAATAGTACTTTCTGTTTCACAAGTAAATAGTAATGTTGAAGTAAATGTAAAAGTAAGTGCTAAACTGCTAACTTCTGAGTAGTACTTTCAACGACAAAAAAACTGTTTGATTTCGGTTGCTATCACTTATCACTAATAACACCAACAATCACTAAGATAAAACTATAAATAGACATAATAAAATGAAAATTTTTATTTTATTGTTTACATATTTACAGTACTCTAAACATTGCGGATATTTTTGTCGTTAAAGTTAACAATAATATTAGGTAATTTAAATATTTTATATTTACCTTTGAATATAAAACAAGGTGCTTGTTGGGTGTTTTATTCGTCTGAGTAGGTATACTATAGTAGGTATTTTTTAATATGGAAGACTGGAACATATACGGTTTTACAGCCGTATATAAGGTGGTCAGTTAGGTCAGTTAGGTGTACACCTGACATAAGAGGAAACAGCACCTCAACTATTTCAAGGAGTAGGTAGTAATTTCAAAGGGCACCTTTAGTCGAAAATCCATAACAATTTCAGACGGGGACTAACATATTAACATCAATCCCACACAAAGGAGGTGGCCCCCTCAAGCCCCCCCCCGATTTCCACTAATGAGGGCACCACCTGTCCTGGTTAAGGTAAATAGGGTAAATATTTTTATTTTTTATTTTTTAAATTTTTAAAATAATCTGCTAGGACTAATTTTTACTATCTTTCCATTATCGATAGTTTTTTACTGGAGGATGGGTAATTTGCATATTTGGCTTGAGTTTCAAAATAAGTTGAGAACTAACATTTTCAAGAACACCAGACGAATGACGAATGAACACGAATTCACACGAATTTTACATGAATTTACTCATTCGCATAAATTCGTGCTCTTTGATCTTTTGATTTTACCGCCCTCCGGAGCGATAGACCACGAATCATTCGTGAATAGTTCTGGGCCAGTTTTGGGCCATGAATGACGAATGGCGAATGACGAATAACCCCTACACACTATTCACGAATTTGTACGAATCACGAACCGCGAACCACGAATACGCGCATAGTGTGTAGCTACCTTTATGATACATTTTCACTGATTTGAGAGTTCTCATAAGTGAGCATTTAGGTTATTTTATGTTTGGAATATTTGCCGTTTGGATATTCATAATTACGGCCTTAGAAGGCCGTGTTCGTAATATAATTTGGTAAGAAAATTATCACGTGTTGCTTATCAATGTTTAGTTGGGTTCAATTCTTCTAAATGAGTGAAAATGATAAGAATATATTTTATACCATAGACCTATTGGCTATTAACAATTTGTTAATAGGTCTATGTTTTATACCACGAATTATACCAGTGATCCAGCCGGGACCTCCAATGTGAAGAAAAAACGAAAATATCTAAATACTGGTTACATATTTATCGCTCGTTATCACTTGTATCATTTTTTATCAGTTTATCTCATGAATTCTCAGAGAGAATACAGCAAGGTGTATGGATACATCTTATATCAATACACCTTGGAATACAGTTATTAGCACAAATATGGAACGAATATATAATAAAGTTGTTAAGGGGGCTCCAGCGTATCATGTTTTAAGAAGTAATATTCAGGCAATTCACATAACATGAACATTTGGGTCATGTCTATGTGTGAGTAGTAAATGAACATTAGTGTGGGTAATCTATTATCGCGTGCCTCGGACCATCGGTTGACAGTATTACGAATTCCCAGAACTACGTATAATTAAAATGCTAGAAAAATTACAATATATTATGATCAATTGCGTGCGTTATTTTTTACTATATATTACCTACTCACTACTCGGCTTTCGCTGCAATTCTCAAAAATGTACAATTACATTATACTACACAAGACTACAAGAGAATCACTTTGTTATTTCATAGTTATTAACTATTACATTACTTGACTTTTTTATACAAATAAAACCATTTAAAAAAGTAGCATTACAAACCATTCCCGCAGGGCCGTATACACGGGGGGTTTAGGGGGTTCAAAAAGTTTATAAATTTATTTCAAATATTTAAAACTACTAATATATCTTATATATTTAAAAAAAAAATTTTATCAATAATAGTTATTAATAATATTTTAGATGTTTGTGTTGTTATCGGTTATAAGTAAGGTATTTTGTGTATCGTCTAATAATGGTCGCAATGACAAATCGAAATTACCATAACCGTTTTGTTACTGTGATAATTGATAATCTTATTATATGTTCATGTTGATAATACTGAAATTTAAGATAACATATTAATTAGGTATTATCAGTATTATAGTTAAAACTTTAAAAGTTAAAACCGTGCTAAAAAAAAACATAGATTTGAGAGAAATGATCAGTTTGGCCAAAATCAGTATCAAGGTTCTTGACAATTTAAGGGAAAATGTAGATCATGAATTTAAAAAAATGTTCAAAGAAGCTCAAGTAATGAATGCCTTGAATTAAATTTTAATGTTCATTTTTCAAACTATAATTATATTTTTAAATAGAGATTGGCTGAGATGTTAGACTTTGAAATATCAGTCAAACAGCTGAAAAAGAGTCAAAATATTTTCAAAACTGTATGGTGTATAGGAAATGCTAAACATTCAGTGAAATTTTCATGTATCTACAGTTATTCGTTTTTGTATTACAACAAAATAAGAAAATCACTAGGTACATGAGAAATCGAGTGAATGTTGTAAAAATTTGAATTTCAAACGCTCATAAAATTTTAATTTGACTCTCTTATAGACATTTTTTTTTTTTGATAAATGTAGATAATCTTATGAGGAATCTTGTATTACATTTTCTAATCTTAGGTTTAAAAAGAAACATTTTTACGAATTCTTAACTCAAAATAATTTGCTAATTTTCGTGATTTTTCCATATTTTGTCAATTTTTGAACTTTAAATGCTAATCAAAATATTTTGAAAATGTTATCGTGTATAGAAAATGCAAATATAAACAACCAGTGAAAATTTCATGTATATATGTTTATTTGTTTTAGAGTTACACTAAAAACCAAAATCGATTTTTTGGAAAACCGATTTTGCGTAAAAATTCCCGTTTTTCCTTAATTTTTATGTTGTTTTTCCCGGCGCTTGTGAATACTACTGGGAAATTTTTACTTTTGACCCCCCAAAGTACCAACTAGATTCACTTTCCTATCAGAAAAGCTACTGTTGAAGAAAATCCAAGCACTTTTACTGTCCTAAAACGTGATGACAGACACAAAAAAAAAAAAATAAAAAAACACACATCATTGTAAAATATATACATTCATCGTTTCACTCAGAATCTAAAAGAAAAATAGATCTGATATTATAACTTTTAAGACACTAAAATAAAGATATAAAAATAAAATTAAGATATAAAAATATAAATAATGTGTTATTTTTTCTTAATTTACTATAACATGTTATTATTATAATAACCCCCCCCCCATATAAAATTCCTGTCTACGGCACTGCATCCCCGATAGGAAAAGGAAACTCACGTTCATATACTAAATCAATTAATTCTAAAACCATGTAACCAAAGAAAAAAGTAAAAAAAAATTTCTTTTCCAAAATATTTACCACATTATTTTACCAATTTTAGAAATTATTATGTATATCACTTTTTTTATTCTGTACATTTTGCAATCGATGTTTTTTTATTTTATTTGCACTTAACTTACGTCTAGCTTTTCTCCCATAACGCCAATCTTAACACATTTTGTAAAAAAAAAATTAAAAAGAACACAAGACTTACAATAGAAATTCGCTAGACTAAACCGGTGTGAAAAAAAATGCACCGGGATGTTTGGACCATATCATTTACATGGTTCATTATCCCGGTGCGGGATAATATGGGATAATTTTAAACCGGTTTAGTCTAGCGAATTTCTGGACAGACAACTTTACTGATCGCCGTGTTGTGTTGAAATCAAATGATTCATAAATCATAGGTAGTATTTTTATACTTTGTATTTCCTTAAAATTTAAATATATGTTTGTTGTATTAAATTTGGAAAAATATAATTATTATTACTGACTATTATTATTGTCACCCATTAGTAATGTTCTACACCTATCCAATAATCCTTATCGGCTAATTGATTCTGACTTACCGAGAATCTATCACGGCCCGTCGGCAGCCGTAAGCCGCCGCCCCGCCGAAATAAACGAAAAATGAAATATATTCATGTTTGCAATGCTATAAAAACTACTAAAAGCGGTAGTAAATTAAACATACTTCCTGAAGTCCGATTGTAATTTTGAAAATATGGCTGAATTTATAAACTTCTGGACTATGCTCTTTAGGAATCACTTTTTTGATTTAAAATTAGATGTGCCCAAAATAAATACAAATGTAATGCAATTATTTCATGAGATTTTTGAAAAAAAAATAGTTTTGTCTAACAAACCATAAAATAAATACACCTACCTCATCTATAGTACCCTTTTGAAATAAACAATAAAAATAATACAAAAACAAACCTGGAAATTATAATTAAGAATAATTTAAATCGACTTCCTAAATAACTTAGATATTTTGTCAAAGAGTTCATACATGTATAAAAATTAAAATCGGACATTCCGAAGTATGTGTAATTTACTACCGCTTATTGGTCTAAAACGCATGAAAAATACGTCTGCTGCGTTCCCCTTAACACGTTAAATGTTTTAAATATTCTTGACTTCAATCAATCGTAATTTACCAAAAAAATATTAAACATTTGACCTATCAATGGCCAATTTACAGATGACCAATGGATATAATAGGTTTTAACAAATGTTACCGGTTTAAGGGCGAATACTGATTGAAACACAGACATGTAATATTATGTACTGCAACATGAATATAAATATGAAAAACAATAATATTTTAGGTAATAAACTATTCTTAATTATAATTTCCAGGTTTGTTTTTGTATTATTTTTATTGTTTATTTCAAAAGGGTACTATAGATGAGGTAGGTGTATTTATTTTATGTTTTGTTAGACAAAACTATTTTTTTTTAAATTGAAAAAAATAAATGTACCCTTTTCATATAACTGTATAATATGTTATAACTACAATGTAACTTTATAATAATAATCATTTTTTTAAGTAATTTATTATCAATTAATTTTTATGTCATATTGTGTAGTATTGTTTGATGAACAATTTAATATTTAAAAACTAGAAGAAAAGTTTAATCTAAGAAAATTCTTTGAAAAGTGACTTATTCCATTCGACATAAAGGGCATCTTGTTGATGCTGGAAGGGATGTAATGCAATTGTTGCAAACCCATGCATGACCACAAGGAATATACTGTTGAATATTTGCTGCTCTTGCATTCAAACATACCATGCACTTTGACACTTGTGGAGCTACCCACTGTGCAATATTTTGTTACAGAAACATTTCAGGGAAGTATCAAATCAACATGTAACATTGCATTTGTTGTTGCTTTTGCGTAATAATAACATCGACGGTACCGCTAATGTCCAAAATGTATAACGTCACATGTATGATTCAATATTTTTTATTGTCAACCAAATCACCATTTTTTTAACATTACACATTTATTATTAACAGAATTAATGTTTAATAAACAGTTTTCTTGCAAAATCACTCTTTCATAAGCTAATTCACCAACAATATAAGAATAATTATTGTTTAGTTTTTCTTTTTGAAATAGTGGATATTTTATTTGGCTTGCAATAGAATTATTTATTTCATTGTATTTTTCAATAATCCTGTTACTAACTTCTTGTAAAGGATATTTGGCACATTTAATACTTTTTTTTAATTCTTTAAGATAATTTTCAAACCTAAAAGCACTAAACGAATCAAGTGGACCATGTTTTTGAACAAAGTAAGGCAAATGAATAAGGTTATGTACATTATAAGTAATGAATTCAGATCCGTATAAAATAGCATAGTCATTGATAAATTGTTCTAATAAAATCCTTGCTTTTTCATTATATAAAATACAAGTCTCTGAATTGACTAAAAGCCTAATTGCGCTAAATAAAAGTAAAAAATGTTGATAAAATTGTTTTTTTAATTTTCCTTTTAAAACGATATGACCATAATATAAAATAAAAGTCCTTAGTTCTGTTGCCTTCCAGTGATCAATATCATCCATAGATCTTGGCAATCTAGCAAATTCTGATGGCACATAACTTCTCAAATTTAAAATACTCTTATTTATATCATTCTTTGATTCATCTAATAATCTAATATCTTTTTTACCTTTGACCCAAAATTTAATAAGCCTCTTTGTTACACCGACATACACACAATGCATGTTGTCGACTGGTATATCATCAATCATATTTATGGGTAATTTTTCTAATGGACTTGTACCCTTATGATAACTATCATCGGTTTTATTTCTAAATGAATTATTTGTTCTCATAGGTGAATTAGTAGTTAAAAAAGTCATTGTTTTATTAAATACACCTTCATCAATGCATGTATTGCATCCATGGTAGGCATTGTGTGATTTCACCTTTAATAAGAATGCTTTAGCTGGTGCATCACATACAATATGAGCTATTTCCATATTATATAAAGTATTATCAACATTTATACCATTTTCGAGCATACTTAAAGCATCTATTAAAAAAAAACTTAAAAATTCATCAACTGAAAATGGCTTTTCAAACCCATGAAATATTTCAATCGGTATAACATATTTAGATATAACTTTTACATTAACAATACACATTAAAATAGGCCAAAATTGGCTTTTTGAGCTTGAGGCTAGCGGTAACCCGTCCACGTTTATACCAAACTTTAAATTCTTTATATTTGTTAAATAATTTTTATGTTTAAGTAAAATTGGATAAACCATTTGTTCGATACCGAAATGTACATAAGAACCATTATTCATTTGTATAATTGTATGTTTAGGAGTTTTCATTAAAGTTCGTCCATCTTTAGGAACATTTAAGCCTTCAGTTTGTAAAATTTTTAGCAAAGCGTTATGAGCGACAGTTATGAGTAACATTAAATTGTATGTTCCAAGCACGTAATTTATCACAAATATTGGTTTCTACACTCTTTGAGGTATTAGAAAAATTATTATTTAAAGTATTATTTTTAGGGTAATTTACATTATTAAAAAATGGACTTTTATTTTGATTTGTTAAAATATTTGACTCTGTTGGTAAATTAAATATGGTGTCATTTACAACATGATCATCATTTGTATTAAATATTTGGAGACATTGAGATGGGCTCTGTTCAAAATTTGATGTTGAAATAAGATTGATTGTACTTGTTTTTACTTCTTTTTGTAATAATCTTTTGAAATGACGGTCTGTAACTTTTCCCAAATCTTTTTTTTTACGCTGAAAATGTGTTGTTAAAATAATTATTTTATTTATTTTTTATTAATATAAGTGTTGGCGTTTAGACCATTGAACAACAATTTATAATTATTTACTTATAATATAAAACATTTTTTTTTTACTATTTAATGATCAAAATAATATGTAGTTATGTGCATAAGAATGTTTAAAAAATAAAAATAATATCTATTGATGCTTTTTTTAAATTAATTTTATTAAGTAATGATAAAAATAATAGTTATGTACTTCAATACAAATTATAATAAGAAGACTGGTACAAAGTAATATCTGGCCTTACAGAATTGTACATAAATAAAAATAATATATATTGAAGCTTCTTTTAAATTAATTTTGATAAGTAACAATAAAATAAATAGTTATGTACTTCAATAAAAATTATAATAAAAATTATTATAAAAATACTTGTACAAAGTAATATCTGGCCTTACAGAATTGTATATAAATAAAAATAATATATATTGAAGCTTCTTTTAAATTAATTTTGATAAGTAACAATAAAATAAATAGTTATGTACTTCAATAAAAATTATAATAAAAATTATTATAAAAATACTTGTACAAAGTAATATCTGGCCTTACAGAATTGTATATAAATAAAAATAATATATATTGAAGCTTCTTTTAAATTAATTTTGATAAGTAACAATAAAATAAATAGTTATGTACTTCAATAAAAATTATAATAAAAATACTTGTACAAAGAAATATCTGGCCTTACAGAATTGTATAGAAATAAAATAAATGAAAACAGCTGTGAATTATAATTGTAGGAAAAATAAGGCTTGTAGGAAAAATAGACCAATAAATATTTCATCTGGTAAGAACTAGATAATTAATTAAATATTATTTATGATTTTATTCAACATAATATAATATATAATAAGATAATTAAATAATAGTATATACCTGCCTATTCAGCCTTTACAGATAAAAAACATAGATAATTATTAAATTATATACAAATTTGTTTAATATAGATATCGCTACCCTCCACAGACTTCTATAGAGTATTATATAGAAATCTGTGCTACCCTCATGGCAATATCTCTTATCTCATTTTTTTTTATGATTAAATTCCACATTAACATTAAAACATCATGCTTCCCTACGTCATCTTGCTTTTTTCCCCTCCCCACTCCACTCACCTATCATCATGCTTCCCCACGCCATCCCGCGACTCCCTCCCCCACTCCCCCCGCCAACACCGTGACTCCCCACGCCATCCCGCGACTCCTTCCCCCCACAACCCCAGCTTGCACCTCCTACGTCGTCGTGCGCTTCCCGAGCTCCTCTCCCCACCCAATCACACACCGGGGACTACGTCGTCCCACGCCTCCTACGTCATCGCGGGCCCCCGCGAGCGCCTATATATATAAATAATATATATATATATATATACATATAGCACAGTATGCACGTATATATTATGTATATATATTATATACTCTGTACATACTGTAGTATATACTAAAGTTTATATTCTATACGTGCTATAGTAGGTTTTTTTATATGTATATACCACGGTTTAAGATAGTATGGTTGCGTAACGAAACGAGAAAAAGTGTGTTGTGAATGTTCTTACCAAATACCTACGATCATAGAGCGCTCCCAGCGGATCTATATACTATTAACTATATACTATTGTTCTATGATATTACCTAAGATAATCTAATTTAGCCGTGGTTATAACTGTGTTATTATAATTATTAGTTATTACTTATTTTTTTTTTATTCACTAATAAATTTCAATATTAATTGTACAAAAAACAAAATGTTCTTGAAAGAAACTCTTTATTAAGTAATTTAAAATATAAAACAACTATGTGGGTACTAATTTAGATAACTTTTTTTTTGCTTTATTTATTTGCTTAGATTCAATATTTTTCATGTAAGAATACTGCCTCATTCTCATTACAATATACATTGTGTATATTTCTGTTAATATTTCACTTTTATGAACTGAACATTCCCATTTGAGTATAACATTATCATTAGCTAATAAATCTTCATAAGTGTCTTCAAAAACATTGAGTGAGTCAGCATGTTTTTCAAATGACGTTTCAAACATTTTTATTATTGTGTATAGATGATGATTTGGGTGGGACAAAAAGCCTCTGGTTTTCATGTTAACCAAATCAGCATCTGGATGAGATACTTGACCATATTCAGATTTCAAACAGGTTAAACAAAGCTCACATTTGATTTTTTTCACTAACCGCTTTGTTATATATCTATTAACAAATTTAAAACATCATTATCTTCAATAATAAAATAATCATTACTATTATTTTTAATTTACCCTGATAAAAAGTAAACTATACAATCAAAAATTGTAGAATTTGAACTTGCATAATTATGTTCCTTAAAGATATCATCAAAGTCCCAGTGACCTTGCTCGACTATTGAATCCATTTTTTCTTTAAGTTTATTAATTTTTGTTTGTCGTTCTGAACTTTTATTTTGGTCGTTAATAATAATTTTTAAATCATTTACAGAAATCATTGGGACATTGTCTAAAAACACATTTCAATTAACTATTAACCATCAGAAGTATAAATACCAATTACCTTCCAAGATGGTACAATTTCCTGACTTGGGTGGTTTGATTACTGAATAAGCTGATAACATTCTATAGAGTTGCAAAAAAGTTGGAGTTGACGGATGGTCATTTGGTCCTGAAATCTGTCTTATGATACCAAAAAATTTCTGCAAAAAATATCATCAATTACAATAATATTAATGAAGTACAAATTTTTGATAAATTTACTTCAACACAATCCTGATTAAATTTTGAAGTTAGAACATAATCAAAACTACAAGTATGCAATACATTAATTAAATCTAAAGTAGATTTAATTGTTACTCTAAGACCTGCAGTATTTTTTGTTAAAAAGTTGTCCTCTGTTATTAATTTGTTCATTACATTTGTTTCCCAGTCGTTCAACCAAATTAATGTATTCTCTAAAACCTTCAAAACATAAATCAACCTGTTCAGTTATGATAGTTATTTAAGTTTTTAATTAATACAAAAAAATACTTTCCAATAGTTTTTCTTTCATAACACAAATTTCTATAACATGTATTCCAACACAACACAAAAACTCATGCTCATGCAACACATATATTAAAACCTCTATATCTTTGCTATTTTTTTTTATTCCTTCCCCAGGAAATCTTCTATTTAAAGCATCAAAGAGGTCATTCATTATTGAAGTGAACTTAATGGTTTCTTCACAGTTTTCAAAGCCACTAACTAGTTTTCTCTTAAAAAATTCTATCCCAGTAACCATAGAATTACTAAACACCTAAAGAAATACATATATTATTTCAATTTAATTGTTGACCAAAAAGTTTTAAACTAAAGATTTTTAAAGTCTTACTTGTGTGGCATATTTCACCTTCATTTTAGATAAATTGTTTAGGTCAAAGTGATTTTTAGTTAATTTTGTACATACTTTAGTTAGTGACTTAGAATCTTGAAGAAAAACATTTTCATAAATATTCCACTTAATTGGAGACTTAGAAGGATGAATCTAAAACATATTTAATTAAAAAGTATAGATTAATTTAATATTTATATACTTAGGTATATATTTTTACCTGTAAGGATTTTTTTGTGATTAACCTATTCCTAATAGTCTTCAATAAATGAGGAGCATCCGAAAAAACAAATATCTTACGGTTTCCATCATAAGGATTATCAAAATAATTTTTCATATTATCCATTTTTCCAGATATGAGTTTCAAAATGTTTAGCACAGACACGATGGCTCTTTTTTAAAACCATTCCCAAAGCTTTTTCCCATTTTCCTTTTTCTCCCTCATTTTTGGGAACACTAAATGTAGTTTTGGATGCATCATGAGGTGCATGTACACAACAGATATACATTTTAACAAAATGTCAAAATAATGTCAGTAACACATAAGAGTACATAAATCATTTAAACAAAATATCAGTATTTATAGCTCAGTTAAGAGCACGACTATCTATAAGTACCTACATTGATATTATGAATAATTTTGATTTATGGAAATGATTTTCTTTTTGGCGGCATTTTTTGAATATCAAATAATTATAATATAATATATTTATATATAATATTCAAATATTGAGAGTATAAAACCTATGATAAAAGTATAAGGTTTTATAAATGAACTGATAGATGGCGCTGCAGAATCTTAGGTAAAATCAGCTGATTTCGTAAGAACATTTGTACTACATAAACGTCTTGCCGTAAGTAATACACCGTACTGCAACCATACTATCTTAAACCGTGGTATATACTAAAGTATATACCTCATACATATACTATAGTGTATACCCATGTATACCTAATTATATACTATATACATAATAGTACATACTATATACATACTTAGGACAGTATATACCTATATATATAAATATTAAAGTATATAATCTGTACATAGTATAGTAAATACCTATATATACTGGGTGATTCTTTTATCAAACAACACTCATTATTTCAAAAAGTGTAAATTTTTTTGAAAATATTTTTTACATAGTTTCAAGTCGCTCGTAAAACAACGTTTTTATTAAAAAATTATATTTTTAAATATTTTTTATCCTTATAATATTTTAAGTTTTTTACTTTTTTTAATGACAACATAGGGT